TCCTCCCTTCTGCTTTCCTCTCTCCTCTCTCCCTCTCTCCTCCTCCCTACCTCCTTTCTTCCCTCTGCCCCCCTCTCTCTTCTCTACTTCCCCCTGCTCTCTCTCCCTCTCCTCTCCTCTCTTTCCACACCTTCCCTCTCTCCTTCTCTTTTCCTCCCTTCTGCTTTCCTCTCTCCTATCTCTCCCTCTCTCCTCCTCCCTACCTCCTTTCTTCCTCTGCCCCCTCTATCTCTTCTCTACTTCCCCTTGCTCTCTCTCCTTCTCCTCTCTTTCCACACCTTCCCTCTCTCCTTCTTTTCCTCCCTTCTGCTTCCCTCTCTCCTATCTCCTCTCCCTCTCCTCCTCCCTACCTCCTTTCTTCCCTCTGTTCCCCCCTCTCTCTTATCTACTTCCCCTTGCTCTCTCCCTCTCCTCTTTCCACACCTTCCCTCTCTCCTTCTCTTTTCCTCCCTTCTGCTTTCCTCTCTCCTATCTCTCCCTCTCTCCTCCTCCCTACCTCCTTTCTTCCTCTGCCCCCTCTATCTCTTCTCTACTTCCCCTTGCTCTCTCTCCTTCTCCTCTCTTTCCACACCTTCCCTCTCTCCTTCTCTTTTCCTCCCTTCTGCTTCCCTCTCTCCTCCTCTCTCTCTCTTTTTCCCTCTCTCTTTATCTCCCTTCCATTCTCTATTTTATGTGGCGTATTTCCGCCTTTTAGCAAACCCCATTTATTACCAGTGGCATCCATAATTATATCCCCAAAGGGGAAAAAAAAGATTATTTTCAACATGGGTAGTTTTTCTTTTCAAGGTATACCTTTCTACAAATCCCATTTGTTCCCCCCTCATTTATTGGCACCCCCCCCCAACCCAGCTACCCACCCAGAGGTTGACTGGCCCCCTGGATGCTCCCACTGACGCTTGGGGGTCGATAGGGATCCCCTTGGGGAGCCCTGGCTGGACTGAGCTGAAGGGGAGATTCTGGGGGTTGAAGTCCACGCAGCTTCATAACCCCACAGAGTTATTATTTAAACTATTAAATAATCCCACATAGTTACGTCATTCCTTTAGAGCAGGGGTGGGTAACTATGGCAACTCGAGGGCCCGTGGACTACAACTCCCAGAATTCCTGAGGCAGCTTTGCTGCCTCAGGAATTCTGGGAGTTGCAGTCCACGGGCCCTCCAGTCCCCCACCGCCGGCCCAAGCCCATCATCCCCGTCAGTCTCGCCGCTCTCACCCGCCGGCGTCCAACGCCTCCAGGAACTGATTGATCACGTTGTCCAGGATCTGCTCGCGGCCGATTTTACCCTGAGGGCCCGCGGCAGGAGCGCCGCATTCTCCCTCCTTCTCCGGCTCCGGAGCCGCCATCTTCTTCCCGCCAAAAGCAACGGATCCAAACTGGAGACACGCCCCGCCCAGTTGCGGCCACGCGGACTCTTATTGGTCTCCGCCCCCCCGGCTCGGCCGCGTGCGGCGATCACGTGGCCCGGGAAGGCGCCGCCCCTCGAGAAAAAGCAGGAAAGGACCGCTGAGGAATTGTGGGAGTTGAAGTCTTCAAGCGGCCATAGTTGGGAAGCGCTAATGCAAACCAGGATATTTGCAAGCCAACATACCATCCTTGCCCACATGTTCACCAGTTAATGCGCACTCAGGAATTCTCATTTCTTTTATTAACAAGAGGGTTGCATGAGCAATTCTCATTTCTTTTATTAACAAGAGGGTTGCATGAGCAAGAGACTGTGGCATTATTACTGATTATTGTATTATCTTCTTTACTTCCCCTTTTCATAGATTTTATTCTTTCTCTTGCTTTGCATGTATATTGAGTGATTCTGCACAAATTCCTTGTGTGTCTCATCCCTTTTGGCAAAATAAAGTATTCAATTCAACTTTGTTTCTTTTTGTACTGGGGATACGACCGTATTTCAAGAATACATCATCAAAACGTTTTCCAGAATATCTGCTCTGGAATACGAGATTACCCTAAAACATTCTTTGCAAAATCAAAACTTTTTCCTCCTCAGCTACAACGACATGGTCAGAACTGCCTCGTGTGTGGAAATAGTTGCTGCTGGTGCTAGGAGAACATTTTGTTCTCCAGATGTTCTGGATAACTCAACATTGAGACAGTGATTGTTGTAATATAGTTCCTTGTGTAGGTGTGTGTCCCCCATGGCCCAGTTCATNGGACTGCACCCCAGAGGGCAAAGAGGCAGCGGAGCTTAGAATACCTGGTGGGCAGGAAGAGGGTTACGATGGCTCTTCCCTAGTGATTCCCAGAGTGCATTCAGGGCAGGAGGGTCTCCAACTCCCAGAATTCCCCAGACCCCGGACCTAGAGCAGGGGTGTCAAACGGATGCGTCATGGGCGGGCAACGTCCACCCACCTCCGCAAAGGGGAAAAACATATGGCGGTGTGTCACATGACACAAATGCTTGCTTTAGTTTTGCAAGTCTACAGGGCGAGGAACGATAAAGGAAACAACTCCTACAAATAACTCAGCCAATGTAATAGAAGGCAGAAAGATTTCTCGGCTAATCCTAGGCAGGAGGGTTGGTGGAGGGTGCGATGGGAGGCATATTAATCTAATTTAATAATAATAAATGGGGGAGAGGGAGAGTCAAAAAGACCAAAAAGGGACTCTAAACCAGAAGTCTTCAAAGTTGGCAACTTTAAGACTTGTGGACTTCAACTCCCAGAATTCTCCAGCCAGCAGAGGAGTTGAAGTCCACAAGTCTTAAAGTTGCCAAGTTTGGGGATTCCTGCTCTAAACAGTGTATGTGCATATAGTGTTGATTTGTTTGTTTATAAACCCCAGAATTTAGGTTGATGCTAAGGGGAAAAACATGGCGCTATGTCACATGACACAAATGCTTGCTTTAGTTTTGCAAGCCTACAGGCGAGGAACAAGAAAGGAAACTCCTCCTAAGGAACTCCGTGAGGGTCTCCCAGACTGCTCAAGCAGAGGCTAAGAGGCCACAAATCCACAGAGACCCTGGATTTTCAGGCTCTCAGAGAAGCGGGGGGGGGGCTCTTGGGCGAGGCTCTGAATGTGGTTGTTTCCTGGATTGACGTTTCATTACCCAAACGAGGTAACCTCATGGGTGCAAAACGATCCGGCTCCCAAGAGCCTCTCAACCCTCAACCCAAACATTCCCCTCTATCAGAGGAGGGGTCGTCTCAATTAGAGGTAATCCTGGCTTAATAAGGTTTAGGTTTATTCGATTTATATGCCGCCCTTCTCCCAAGGACTCAGGGAGGCCGTACAACATTGAAAGAAACACATAATTCAAAAGTTAAAAAGATGTGGAAGAGATGCGTAAAAGTCTATTTGTAACCAACTGATACACTTTCTATAGCATGTAAAGAANCATCCTTTGTCTCTGCACCTGATCGGAAGTGGATGGGTGGAACTGCCAGCGTGGCTGAAGAAGATTGGACCATGTGTTGGACTTGTGGGTGTGTGGAGGGGGGACAACATCATCAACTTTCAACTGGGTGGGAAACCCCGGAAACTTTCAGATTCGGGTTTCCACAGATGTGCCAACACGTCTCTCTTCATAAATTGTAAGTTTGAGGAAAGTTCTGCCTTGGACTCTGATTTAATTCTGGCTGATATTTGGAACGCTGACACCTTGCTTTCTACGAGGGGCCTAGTTGGGGTCCAAGAGGTCTGCACACATCAAAGCAAAACGGGGGACACATTTAGGACCCAGATGCAGAAGCTCCTGGGAGCTTTGTCTCAAGGAGGGGTTCCTCTGCCATTGGTATACAAGCCACTGAAGTCACCCTGAAATGTGAGCCAGACAGCAGATAAATTTGATAAGAGAATAAAAGAAACCCACCCTGAAGAGCTGCATGAAGAACTCTGCAGAAGAAACAGGCTTTTTTAAAGAAAAACCTAGGCAGCCACTTATCTGAAATAGTATAGGTTCTCCTGCTTGAGTAGGGAGATGGACTAGAACAGGGGTCTCCAACCGTGTCACCTTTAAGCCTGGTGGACTTCAACTCCCAGAATTCCCCAGCCAGCAAAGCTGGCTGGGGAATTCTAGGAGTTAAAGTCCGCCAGGCTTAAAGTTGACAAGGTTGGAGACCCCTGGACTAGAAGACCGCCAAGGTCCCTTCCTACTCTACTCTGCGAATCCTAAGGTCTTCTCCATGCCTCCCAGACCCAAAAAGTGTCAGGGAAAGCCAGGCCTCCGTTTTCAGAGACATGGGAAGAGTTTGGAAAAAGGGGAGAAAGATGACCCCGAGTCTCATCAAGGCATTGAAAAAGCTGGTTGAACCTTGGGAGGAAGACGGCTGAGGGTGAGAGGAAGCTCTTCAGATATCCGAAAAGATGCTGAAGAATGAAAGGAGACCTTCTTGTCCAGTATTTTTTTCAACAACTGACAACTTCAAGAGGTCCGGATTTCAACTCCCAGAATTCCCCAGCGAGCATGAATCTAGATGCAATCTCTGAATGTACATCCGAAAGAAGCACTCATCGTCCGACTGCATCATTTGTACTGTCAAACAAGAGAGCTTGCAGAATTAATATTCTGAGCGAAAGAAACGCAAAAGCATGAGCTGCAATATTTTAATCAAAATAAGCACACAGTCACATGCAACCCCACTCCCAGCCTCCCACCCCATAGTCAAGCCGAGAGGGAGCAGCCTTTTCCCACAGATTGGCTGCTCTGGAAATCTGGCAGAAAATCCTCGGGCTCAATGCGTGGCCCTCGGAGGTCTTTCTCACATCCTCGCCCCCAAAAAGCAGCCAGGCCTACTCAGGAGAGATCATCAAAGGTCTCCATCATCTTCCGGCCTTCGATAGCAACTCCCTAAAAGGAGAGAAGAGGTCAGTCCGTTGGCAGAACAGCCTCTGAGTAAGAAGGAAGAGTCTCTCTCATACAGAAATACTGTGGACATAATAGACAAGGCATTCAGCAAGGCATTCGACAAAGTAGACCACAACCTACTCCTTGGCAGCATCACCATCAGATGGATTCGTAACTGGCTGACAAACCGTACTCAAGGAGTAGTCCTCAATGGGTCTACGTCCACATGGAGGGAAGGAAGCAGTGGGGTACCACAAGGTTCCATCTTAGAAGCCCAGGACTCTTCATTATTTCCATAAACGACTTAGATGATGCAATAGAAGACTTATCAAATTTGTAAACTGGCAGGAATAGCTAACACCCTCAAACAGTGGCACGCGGACCCATTTGTCAGGGCATGTGAGTTCACCCTTTTTTAAAGCCATTTTTCGCCCTCCCCAGGCTCCAGAGGCTTTANTGAGGACTACACATTGAGTGTGGTTGGTCAGCCAGTTACGAATCCATCTGGTGGTGATGCTGTCTAACCCACAATACCTTGGAATCAATGTGAATTCCATCACCGGGAGGAGAAATTGCTAATATGGTCACCCCAGAATGTGCAAGAGGGATCATTGTATTTTGTAAATAGTGATTGTGAGGGAGAAACAGGGTGTGTTGGGCCACACAATATGATAAACTGCTAAATTCTATTCAGGAATTCTCTTCAAGTATATGCGGGTTGAGACTCATCCATGTGTCACACCTGAGCATTTTTATTTTATTCATTAAACAAATTTATATAGCTGCCCAACTCACATAGGTGACTTACAAAAGGTTAAAAATCCATCAGATAATAAAATTCCACAAACTTCCTTTTTGATAACCAAAAAGGATTTCCTCCTTTAGACAAAAGGATGAAGGCCATGTGTGCAACAAAGCCTAGTTTAATTTAAATTATTTGTGTCTGTAGTTTTAGAATCACCTGCTCTGGTTTCTTTCCAGCCACGTTACAAATAGTGAGACAATGCTGTTTCTTTTCTTAATCTCTGTGTCCATTCATTCTCCTGAATGATGGTTCCCCTCACTACCATTTTGTGAATGGCGTCTGTGAGTCTCACCGTCTCTGGTGGTCTCTGGGTGGGGAAATCCTGAGGGCATCCTAGGACAATGCCTGCTCTTCGCCTTAACCGCACAAACGAAACCCCTCCACCAAATAAATAATAAAAAAAAAACTTTTAATTATACTTTAAAAGACTTTTTACAGTGCAAAATTGAAACCAGCTTTAATGTACTGTACCAAATACATTCAAACTCCATATTGAAAAGGCAGGCACCAATAATAGAGACCATCAGAATTAAGTGTTAGCTGGATAATAAAATAACCCTTATTTTAGGTCGCTCTATGTGGTTTCCTTTCAGCCTTATTCCTCCCCACTCGCGTAAAAAGTCTATGTGGCATTGTTTTAGGTCAGGAGTCTCCAAACATGGCAACTTTAAGACTTGTGGACTCCCAGAATTGACCAGCCTGCGTAGCAAGATGGGGAATTCTGGAAGTTGAAGGCCGCAAGTTTTAAAGCTGCCACATTTGCACGAGCCCTTCAGCTTCCTGAGAAGTTCACAGCACTGCTCCCTACAGACAATTTGAATCAGAAACATATTAATTCGTAGTACCGTTACATCAAAGAAAGATATCCAAAACAGTGTTTCTCAAGCTTGGCGAGTTTAACCTTCGATTCCCAGAACCCCCAGCCAGCTGTGCTTTCTCCCCTCTCTATATCTGGGATGGGAGATCCACCCAGCGGGAAACTTGACATGCCCGAGAAATAATTGCCCTGGCTAAAGAAATGGAATGAAATCTCAGTTCAGTAGTTATGCTTGGAATAGCGCTAAATGTCCAGTAAGCTCACCAGGAAAAGCACATCGGGTAAAGCATTTTTCACGATNAAAAAATGGCCCTACGGGCAAACCAGAAGTTCAGGAACTGACCCTGTTTGCTCGGAGGGTCCTTTTGACTGCTCCGGAGGCTTCAGGGAAGCCTCCTGAAGGTCCCTGAAGCCTCCCGGAGAGCTTCCGGGGGAGGGGGGGGAAGGGGAGGCGGTTTTCGCCTTCCCCAGGCTCCTATAAAGCCTCTGGAGCCTGGGGAGGGTGAAAAAAGCATGCAAAAAATGGGGGGGTGTGTGCCTGTAGTGCGCGCAGGCACACTAGGGGGGGGTCACACATTGCATTATGGGTACAGCACGCCCACACAAGACACACACCCCTGCGCTCCCCCACTTATGGCACACGAGCAAAAACGGTTCACCATCCCTGCCCTAGAAGATAGGCTCAAGATCCAAATAGATCTTGACGGACTTGAACACTGGGCCCTCTCTAAGAAAATGTAATTCAATGTAGTATAGTCTCACACTTAGGCAGGGAAAACCAAGAGTACGCATATAGACTGAGTGAACCTAGGCTTAATAGCAGTGACTGGGAGAGGCATTTTGGAGTCTTAGTGGGCAACCAGCTAAATAGGAGCCAGTAGCCAAAAAAGCCAATGCAATCCTAGGTTGCATTAACAGAGGGATACAATCAAGATCAAGGCAGGTCATAATACCACCCTGTAAAGCCTTAGTAAGGCCACACCTGGAGTCCTGCATCCAGTTTTGGTCCCCCACTATAAAAAAGACGTTCAGATCCCCAGGAATTTCCTGGTCCTGACTGCTTGTCAAGGCAGCACCCACCTGCCACTCTTCCTTCTGCCGACGGATCTGCTCCTCCAGCTCTGCAATCCGCTGCCGACCGGCCACCACAGCTGCAGCCAGGTGTGAGTTGGTCTCCTGCTTTTCCTTCAGGGACTTTTGGAGGAATTTGCGCTGCTTTAGAAGGTAGGGCACGACCACCCCGCGGACGTCTTCCTCGGGGATGCCACTTGGGCGCCTGGATTCAGAGAGAAGGCGCACATCAGCAGCCACCCAGAGGCATCAGCTCTCCTGGCAGGAGAGGGCGCCATAAAAGTTCCCACCCGGCATTTTGGCAGGGGAGCCACACCTCTGCCGTTAACAAGCAACGTAGCTGCCTTCAGAGGGATACCATCAACTGCTCCAACCTCAGAAACAAAGGGCAGCAAGAACTGCAGGCTGCAGAGCCGTTGGGCTGAATCCCGAGAATGCAGCTGCACGTAGAGGAGCCTCACCAGGCAGGGCCTTCCTTGTCCTTCCCTTCTTTCTCGAGCTTATCCAGGGACTCCAGGAGCAACGGCAGGTTCCCTTCCTCCTTGAGGGCCTGGGTCTCTTCCTGCGGAGACAGAGGCAAGCTAGTGACTGGGGCAGAACGACCGCCTGGGTTGGCTTGCAAAAGGTTAACAGTAACAGCCAGAGAATGGCACCAGGATAGAAAGTGGGAGAGCGGGAGTTCTAGCTCTGCCTTAGGCAAGAAAGCCAGCTGGGGCCGTTGGGCCAGTCCCTCTCCTTCGGCCCAGCAGAGGGTTGTGGTGAGAAACAGAGGAGGAAAGAGTTGTTTGTAAACATAGGAAAGGCAGCATACGAGTAAATAAATAAATCAAAATTTAAAATCAGAGTACAGTTATATAATGCAGGGGTGGGGTAAATTCTAGGAGTTAAAGTCCGCCAAGTCGTGAAGCATGGATCACATCAGGGAAATGGGCCACGTGGAGAAAGCTGCTGGGTTGGAACTGAAAGCACACAGACCGTTTTCCCAGGAGAAACAACCTGCTTCAAATGAAAGCATTTCTACACTGCAATCAAACGGCTCCTGGGGGCTCCTGAGGCCATCCAGTACACAAAAATCCACAGACAAAAATAGTACTAAGTAGAAAGAAGGCACGCACGGAACAAAATATACTGTATTTTTCAGATGCACCAAGATTTTGAAGAGGTAATTTTTTTNAGAGCGAGAAATCTTAGGACCTCCGAAAGAAACTAAGCTGGGCCAAGCTAGGAAGGACTAAAAATTGTGCAGGCCCAGGGTAGCCTTCTGCCGAGGGCTGATTTGGGGACCATGAGATGTACACTTAGAGGAACATTCCCCCCCCCCCAAATCCCCAGCCCTACAGGAATTGCCAACAGGCTCTCCTTCTCTAGGACTCACTCTCCATCACCCTTTCCCAGTGTTTCTCACCCTCAGCCACTTTGAAATGGGTGGACTTCGACTCCCAGAATCCCTCAGCCAGCTGGGGATTGAAGCCCACCCGTCTCAAGGAGGTGGAGAAACTCTGCTTTAAGGGGAAAGAGAGGCCAACGTGCTTGAATTTGGGGAGGGGGTGGTTTCCACAGAAGAAAGCCTGGTGGAGTGGCTGGCAGGTAGCTTTGGCGTGCTGGCCCTCTCCTCCACGACGTACATTTTGTCTACCTAAGGACAGGGGTTCCTGCCTAGAAGAGCTGAGGAATTCTGGGAGTTGAAGTCCGCAAGTCTTAAATTGCCGGGTCTGCAAACCATTAACCTAGAAGGATTGCTCAAGGATTGGGCAACTTTAAAATACGCAGACTTCAACTCCCAGCATTCCCCAGGCAGCTTAAGGCCCCCCTGTGTTTAAGTGTTTAGAGGTCCCTATGCAGCCCACGATTAGGCCAGCTCTAAACCCTGTTTTGACGTTAAGAAGTTGGTAGCTTGGAGAAAAGTAAGTGCAGAGAATAACACCTCACACTAGCATTGCTCCAAACCCCACCACCACCACCACCACCACCACCAAATACTTACTTTTTAAAGCAGGCGAGTTTACTTGCAGCCTAACAACTGCAGCTTCTCCCTCTGCCTTATAACGTCTTTGGGGCGAAGAGCAGCTCGGGGGAAGAATCCCCCCCAAACCAGGACCAGCAAATCAGCAGTGGAAAAATGGTGGCCAGGCGGCAGGACGGAGTCCATCAATGCTGCTGGGCCTGGGGGGAGGTTTGTCCGTTGGGACCCTGCTTTCTCCTTGGCTGCACCGGTTTTAGGCTGGATTTCGGAGCCCAGCTGGCTTAGTCCAATGCTCTGCGTTCAGAATCAGCCTTCTCCTCCCAAGACAATCCGATCCCTCCCTTCCTTCCTTCCCTACCCCGTCCTCCCCATTAATGAAATATTCATTCAGTGATTCAGTCCCACTTACACAAAGATCAAAAATAGCATTATCCTCATTTTTCTCCAGCCTTGCCTTTCAACTGAAGCCCCCCAAAATAAACAACCACCTCACTTCTCTGTGTGCAGAGGGTACGGATGTGACGGACACAACAGGGATCTGATTATTATTTTGTCTACGCTCACATGGGAGAAACCCTGGAGAATAAAGTGCACCTCTCTCTCCTCTCCCTGGGTGGGGTTTAATCCCCCTCCCCAGGTTCTCTCTCTCTCTCTCACACACACACACACACAAACACACACACGCACGCAGTTGGGCACCAGGACTGTACAGACAAGAAGGGCGCTTCCCTTCAATCACCGTTGACACAATTAGAAACATATAAACAAAAATCCTACACTTCGGAGAGGGAAGATCAGAAAGACAGCTTCCAAGTTTATACAAAATAAGAGGAGGAAAATCTCTATGTACAGATCACATTGAGTTCTGGAAGAAAGGCTATAAAAATAACTCCGGGGGTTGGGGGGGGTTGGTGCATCCCCTCCTCTCCAAATATTCGGTTAAAAAAAAAACACCTTTTCAGAAGCATCACAAGGCGAAGGATTTTCTGGACTGCTTTCCAACACAGGGTCTCTGTGTGTGTGTGTGTTTATTGTGTGGCTGCACCCGGAGGATCCTTTCCAAGCAGCAGGGAAAGTGAGGGGAAAGTGAGTCTCCCAATAATGCAGGAATTCTGGCAAAATACAAAAAAAAAAAAATCCAAATCCCCCTGGAGAAGAAAAAAAACCGGCTTCGCTTCAACCGACATCCTTAAAAAATAAAAATAAAAAGGGACACTAAGCGGTGCCAAGTTTAGTAGCCAGGAAGTCTTACGCCATTTTTCAGGACGCGCGGAGGTCCCAGGCTGACCCTGGGGGTTTGGGGGCAGAGTCGGTGGCAGGGATCGGCCAGTCGTGTCCTGCTTTCCAGCGATTCTTCCCAACCGTCCAGGGGGGGTCTCCGAAACCGAAGCCTTTCTTGCCCAGGCGCCCTACCAGTGCCGGGAGTCGACCAGCTCCGGCCGCAGGCTCAGCTTCTTCAGGGTCTCGTAGCCCACCACGATGACGATGGTAGAGGGGGTGGCCGAGATGATGCGAGCGGAAAGGCCCTTGGTGAGCCCCCAGGGACCCTCCTCAGCCATCAGCTGCTTGAAGGTCAGGATGATGGAGTTCTTGCCCCCCACCTGGAGGGAGGAAGGAACAGGACCCACTTCTGAGCTTCAGCAAGAGACACCCTTTGACCGTCAACCGTCCAAAGTCGGAAACACAACCGAAAAAAACCCACCCAGGGCTGCTTCAGCATCCCCTTGGTGATCAAAACTGGGGCAACCGGCTCCTATTTATGACCGTCGCAGTGTCCCGGGGCCACGGGATCCCCTGACTCCCTTTCCGGCAATCAGCGGAGAAGCCGGGATAACAGCCCTGCAACTAACTTAACAACTGTGGCAAGAAAGGTGATAAAAAGGGGACAAACTCACTTAGCAACGATCTTGCTCAGCAACGGAAATTTGGAGGGGGGGGTCAATTGGGAACGTAAGCTGGGGACCCCCTCTGGGACGGTGCTTCTTGCTTGTAAGATGGGTGGATTCCCAGAGTCAAGAGTTCTGGAAGTTCACCATCTCCAAGTAGTCCAACAAGAAGCAGGTTGGAGAAAGGAGCAAGATTAACAGGGAGCCCCCCACCCCCACCCCACCTGCCAAATGTCTTAGGGGCTTCCGGCCCCCAGGGCCAAAACCCCCCTTTGCCCGCAGGCCATAGGAGGCCGGGGGAGGGGAAGGCCGAGCCAGGACCTGCGTGGAGGGGGAAGGGAGGCATGCAAAGGCCTGTGGAGGTCGGAAGCCACTCAAGAGGCATCACCGCCCCCCAATCGGTGGGGCGGGACAGTCTTCAGGCCTCCCCGCAGGGCCCGAGTAGCTGCCGGCTCTCCTCGCGGGCGAGGAGCGGGCTCAGGCGAAAGAGGCACTTACCTGCACACGCGCCCGGATGACGTCCATGGGGTTGGTGAGGGTGGAAGCGGTGGCAGCCGCCATGGGGCCGGAGATGGCTTGGAGGAGCAGGTGGGGGCAGTCCTTGGGGCTCATGCTGGAGAGCTGTTCTGCAAACAGGCAGGGAAACCAGGTCAGGGGCTGAACAGCTGCTGAGGAGCCACGCTGGACGTATCCACACAGGGAGCTGCTGGGGCTCCAGCGTTAAAAGGCTCTGGGCACCTGAGAAAATTGGGACCTCCCTCCCAGGCGTGGTGCGGGTGCAGGACATTACTTGAGCTTGCAATAAATCCTTCGTGTTCATTTGAACTGCCGGTATTTTCTACCCTGGACAGTGATTGATCTGAGTAATCCTTGGGCAGGAGGCCTCTCTCTCACCTCTTCCTCCTCCCTGCAAACCCTGCCTCCTTCTAGCACTGATGAGGTTACCTAGTTTGGGTCATAAAATGTCTGCAAGAAAACAACCAAGCTCAGAGAGCACCTCACAGTCACAACCCAAACCCTGCTCCCTTCTAGCACTGATGAGGTTACCTACTCTATTTTTCGGAGTATAAGACGCACTTTTCCCCCCCACTAAAAGAGGGTGAACATTTGGGTGCGTCTTATACACCGAATGTAGCCCCACCCACCCACCACCTGCCCCCACCCTTTGGCCTCTGCCTCCCAGCAATCTACCTCCTTGCAGAAAACTGGGGGAAATGGGGCTTGCAGAGGCTTCAACAGGCTATAGGAATCCCTGCAGTCTGAAACAGCTGATGATTGGGAGAAAGTGAAAGTGAAACTTGCTGTTTGCTCCACCTGGCAAATTCCTGGGAGGCAGATTTGTTTTTTTCTTGTGCTAATCAGGCTGTTTGCTGCAAGGAGCTAAGTCAACAACTATAAATGCCTCTAGAATGTTCAAAATGTTAGACTCATTTTTTTAAAGACTGCTTTACTATTGTTCTAAACAGCTTAACAAAATGAAGATGCTTTTTGAAAGGTGGCGCAGTGGTTAAATGCAGCACTGCAGGCTACTTCAGCTGACTGCAGTTCTGCAGTACGGCTG